TTTAATAGGCTCTCGCAGAATCGCAATTTGGTGTTTCCATTATTCTCTCTTTTTGCTTAGAAAAGCAAAAAAAAAAAAAAACGCGTAAAGGAGTGAGGAAAAAGGCTTGACTTCCCTTTCGGCGTTAATCGACGGAAAACAAGCGATTTAAATCGGTGAATCGGCAATTTTCAGTTTTCAAGTGCGTTTATACGTTTAAGTCAGGTAATTGATACTTTATTCAAGCCTAGTACTCACATCAAAGAAAACCGCGAGCTAACCATAGGAGAGAGGGAGAGGCAAATACGCGGCTATCGCTTTTCGTCGGGTCTGTTTTCCAGCGCGGTACTCAGATGAGCTAAGGAAATACCAGAAAATATACCAAATTTGGCGAGTGAATTTCGATAAACGCCGTTAGCCGCTGACCAAAGAATAAGAAAATTTATCTTTGGCGGTGATCGTGCAAAAGCGGTGGGGAATTTGAAAATTTAAAATGGAAGAAAATCACCAAAAAATAAGGACGCCAAATCCAAGCTGTTGCTCATTATGTGTGACTTGACCGACAGGAAGCAATACCACAACGGGGCAAATCCGCAGAATAGTTGAAGTGCTGGAGGAGATCCACCAGAGAATTCAGTGGGAAGGAGATCTCCATTGCGGACTCCACCTCCACCAGCTACTTGGCAGCTAAGGCGGAGATGCACAGTGGTTGAACCTGTGTGGAGCCGAGGCCAAAAATACTTTTAGTTGTTATATCGTTTCAAATTTTCCCCACATTTCGATATAAATATTTTAATTATAGTAAAAAAAATTGGACATCTCGCCTGACTATATCCTACCATACAAAATATCGGACCAAATTTCAAACGCGTTGCTATTTTCAGTTTCAAACCTTTTTATTTAAGTATTAATACATTTAAATAATATTTTAAGAGAAAGAGGCGTGTTTTATTATCCGCCCACCAATATTAATCCGTTAGTTTGGATTATAATGTTTAAATGACATGAAAAAAACATAACAATAATAATAAACGAAAATACAAATTATAGCAAAAGAAAACAAAATTTTAAAAAATAAATGATAATTTAAGTCATCGTGTAGTTAAAATGCTGATGCTGATAAAACTGACATTTTTAAATGTGGGAGCTTTCTTTGGCCAGGAACATAAGGATCTGAGCTCAGAAGTAATCTGTGTTTGTGTCAATTTTAGAAGTCTTCCTGGAGTGCTGTCATCTAAAAATTTTGATGTCCTTATCGTTTGACTCTGCAGCTTCTTCTGATAATTCTCCAATCGGCACAAGTACATAATTTATGACATCTGGGGCATGAACTAAAATTTTGTGTTTGGATGGTGGAAGATGGTACCATGGATACAAGCTAATCAGTATCAAGTGCATATTCTCCAAATTTTGCCGCATTGGTTTTGTAGCCTAATGTGGCCTTCCGTAATTTTTCTGCATTGGTGCCGATTACTGTACACCAATAATTGAATATGTTCAAGGGAATAAAGAAATATCGCTATAAAATTAAAATTTGAACCTAAAAAAACATAAAACACTAAGGACGAACATAAAGACACAGCAAAATGCAAAACAGCTGCTTTCACCTTGAAGAAAAAAAAAGACGATGTTAGTATATGGTTGATTATGCACAAATCTGCAAATATCTGCAGATAGCTTTAAGTTTTTTTATACCTTAAGATATTGACAAATACACTGAATAAAAAATGAATCGGGGCATCTTGGGGGATCACAGTTAAAACTTTTATTAAGTATAAAAAACTCGAATACAAAAGATACTAAAAATATAATAAAGTAAAGAATTAATTTCAAAATAACGCCAACACAAGTTGGCTTTTATTTATATTGAAACTTAAAAATAATACCTTTAACTTCAAAATCCATTTTATATAATTTAAATTGGGCAGCGTAATTAGTTGACTGAACACTTTGAAGTCGCTTTTGTTGTGAAATATTGCGATGCGTGCAGCTGCGCTTTGCAAAAGAACACGTGTTCACAGCTTCAATTATATTTTTAGAAAGTCCCGTTAGATATCTAGAAAAACCCTGTTTGCTATGAAGAAGTTTGGTCATTTTAGAGGCGGTTTGTTACTTTCGCAAATTTTTGTTGTTATGATTTTTTTAATTTTGTCCTATGGGCGCAACCACTGTGAGATGGAGGATGCTCCAGCTTCTATAGGTAAGGAGGAGAAAATATTGCAGCTGGACTGCAGAATGGCGACATCCGTGGGACGAGAAAAAAGATTTATGTACATAAATAAAACATTCGTTGAACATATTATTTATTTTTAATTTAATTTCTATGTGTACCATCAGAGTCTTCTATTTTAAATTGTTCCAGTTGATTTGTTTTCCGTTTGTCAACAAACCGAGCTGCTTGACAGTAAGATCATGAAATCTCAAATTTTTTCTTGTGAAACAAAAGTAATATATAAATAAAACTAATTTAAAACTCATATATATTTTTAGTGTTATTAATCGACTCTGACAAATGTTTTCGCAAGGCGATCCCAATACAATTAATATAAATAAGTTAAAAAGACCACAAATATAAAATCTTATTTCTTTAACCTGTTTTTAACCATTTCTATCTATCAGTAACCAAGGACTTTTCAATAGGTGACCGCCCATATGTAAGACACGTATAAGACATGCGTGAAATCACAACTGATTTTGAACAATTTTCATATAAGCTGTCACGAGTAAATAAGCGGACATCCCATATAAATGTTTACATGGAGTGTCACCCGTGACGCACGCAGCTGACACGTCTTTGCTACAGCGACTTATCATTTCTAACAATTTCAGCGTTTTAATATTTATCAGATGAGGTGAGTTCTGAAGGTTAAGTACACCAGCAGTTAACGGCAGTCAATATGTAAGCAGACTTGTCATCATAATAATTGTGTGTAAAAAGTTCAGGTAGGTTTAAAAATATTGCCTCCCAATATTTTATGCAACAGGAGGTAACAAATTTATTTTACAGCAGTTCCACCAAGCTTGAATCCCCTAAAAAATGGTGTCCCGGCACTGCTCGATTGCAGATAGTGGGATAAGGGTATATAAAACATTTGCTTGCTGCTTTCCTGTCATTCCAAACCTCTTAACAAGAGTTGTAGTCCCATCGTCAATCGAAAAAGGCGTCGTCGCTTTATCGTGAACGGATTAACGAAATATATCTCTGGAAATAAGTGGTGTTTGTTTTATTTTCGAATAAGATGGGAACGCTGACCGATTTTGGACAGATTGCTCTGAAATGGGATCCGAAAAATTTGGAAATTCGTACAATGTCAGTTGAAAAAACACTTGAGCCTCTAGTACTACAAGTTACAACTCTTGTAAATACCAAAGGGCCGAGCAAGAAGAAGAAAGGTAATACTACTCTAACAATAATGGAATAACCAGTTTTGAAATAAATTTTGTTTAGTTTTGTGCAATTTGTATACACTCATTATTGTATACGAATAACACATACACTCAACGTCATATCTTGGGATATGTGTGATATAAAAAAAATAAATTTTTTGTGTGGATAGTCCCAGCAATTGCCTTCATATTCAATTGTTTAAAACAATTTTAACCTCTTTGGTACTCTTATTATTCGTGCTTCCAAAACATTTTAAAATAACATGTTTTTAAAAGTTTGCGTACAGCTGGAGATAGTTGCATCTATTGCCAATTTAGTGATTTAATTATCCAGCTAAAGGTAGGCAATTACAAGACTCCGAAAGGAAGATTGTGTAAAATTGCATTTGGATGGAAAAAGCTATTGAGAAATTTTGCGGAATCAAAGGTCGCGCACACTCCTCAGTGCAGAGAGTCATTAAATTGTATATTTCCACCAGATCTATACTTCCCACGCTCCGAGAAGGCCGCCCATGCCGATTAACAAAAGGGGAAACAAGAAAGTAATATTTATGGTGCAAAACAATCAGTAACTGACCACCCGGGAACTGCAGCAAGAGGTGAAAAGTATCTTTTATAAAACCGTTTCATATTCTACTATCCGAAGGATTATAAAAAATCTGGATACATGAGCTGCGTGGCTAGAAAGAAGACTTATATTTCAAAGATTAATCTAGAGAAAAGGGTCTAATTGCCAATGGGCCATGTTTCCAAACCTCCAGAGTTCTGGAAGTCCAAAAGAGCAGAGAAGCCCTCAAAAAACAAAACTTATGTTATGGGGGTGTATGGCTTCTAACGGCGTTGGAAATCTGCTGGGACTTAAACATATACTCAAACTGTAAACACAACTTTGTTAATTTTTAAGTAGTACATTTAAACTATTTATTTTATTTAAAAATTCTTTACTGAACCCGATGTGACTAAATCAATAAATATAGTCCTTACTTGTAGCGGTAGTATATAAATAAATAAATGAAATGAAATGGTTACAGAACGAATTTTATGTCCAACAAGAAAAGTACCCTAAACATACAGCCCATACTATATCAAGCTGTATGCAAACTTTTAAACATTATTTTACAAGTTTTTGGAGAAACAAGAATTGTAAGAGTACCAAAAAAGATAAAGTTATTTTAAATTATAGAATATGAAGGTAATTGCTGGGACTATCCACACAAATAATAATACTTTTGTATATCACTCCTACCCCAAGATTTTAATTGTCAAATGAAAATAATTTTCACTGTACGCAGAGATGTGAGTGCAGCACTAAAAAGGCGATTTGCCGCTGTTTCGTTCGATTCTGCATCCGTTGATTTTGTGCCAGTGCTGAACTGGAGGGTAATTACACAAAGGACTAACACATTTGTATGTACTTTTTTATGTACAGCTTTTGCGTACAGCTGGAGATAGTTGCATCTATTGCCAATTTAGTGGTCAGATTTAATTATCCAGCTAAAGGTAGGCAATTACAAGACTCCGAAAGGAAGATTGTGTAAAATTGCATTTGGATGGAAAAGCTATTGAGAAATTTTGCGGAATCAAAGGTCGCGCACACTCCTCAGTGCAGAGAGTCATTAAATTGTATATTTCCACCAGATCTATACTTCCCACGCTCCGAGAAGGCCGCCCATGCCGATTAACAAAAAGGGAAACAAGAAAGTAATATTTATGGTGCAAAACAATCAGTAACTGACCACCCGGGAACTACAGCAAGAGGTGAAAAGTATCTCTTATAAAACCGTTTCATATTCTACTATCCGAAGGATTATAAAAAAATCTGGATACATGAGCTGCGTGGCTAGAAAGAAGACTTATATTTCAAAGATTAATCTAGAGAAAAGGGTCTAATTGCCAATGGGCCATGTTTCCAAACCTCCAGAGTTCTGGAAGTCCAAAGAGCAGAGAAGCCCTCAAAAAACAAAACTTATGTTATGGGGGTGTATGGCTTCTAACGGCGTTGGAAATCTGCTGGGACTTAAACATATACTCAAACTGTAAACACAACTTTGTTAATTTTTAAGTAGTACATTTAAACTATTTATTTTATTTAAAAATTCTTTACTGAACCCGATGTGACTAAATCAATAAATATAGTCCTTACTTGTAGCGGTAGTATATAAATAAATAAATGAAATGAAATGGTTACAGAACGAATTTTATGTCCAACAAGAAAGTACCCTAAACATACAGCCCATACTATATCAAGCTGTATGCAAACTTTTAAACATTATTTTACAAGTTTTTGGAGAAACAAGAATTGTAAGAGTACCAAAAAAGATAAAGTTATTTTAAATTATAGAATATGAAGGTAATTGCTGGGACTATCCACACAAATAATAATACTTTTGTATATCACTCCTACCCCAAGATTTTAATTGTCAAATGAAAATAATTTTCACTGTACGCAGAGATGTGAGTGCAGCACTAAAAAGGCGATTTGCCGCTGTTTCGTTCGATTCTGCATCCGTTGATTTGTGCCAGTGCTGAACTGGAGGGTAATTACACAAAGGACTAACACATTTGTATGTACTTTTTTATGTGCATGCGGCGGGAGAGTAAAATCTCGTAAAAAGCCGATAGGTGGCGCTTTTTTGTTAGCTGAGCAGTGGGTGTCGGATAGTCTAGACCGTTGACAAACGCTTGTTTTCTTGTATAAAATTTAAAATCCAAAAAACTTGGCATACTTGTGTGATTTTTGTTGCTTTTATGTGCAAAATCCGCTATGGGTCTATTCCTAAACGGTAGATCAATATCATAAAATCGTGTGGTACCTTAAACTAAAACTAATGTTATGTGTAAAATGTATATTATGTTTAAAAGTAAAAAGTAAGTACGCCTATGTCTGCGAAAAAATAATTTGTCATTTGCAGGATCAGGGCCGATTTACAGTAACATTAAAATATGGTGACTGGAGGCAGTTTTTACCGTTCAGAGCCTTTTATGGCGATTTTAAGGACTCTCACTGTTGGGGCGGGGTGGCTTGATCACTGAAGTAGATGACGTCCCAAGATCGAATCACGGGGGTACTTTTGAATTTTTACGCGACGTGCGTGAACACTTTGAAAATATAACTACTTAAACCTAGCTTAGCTTAAGCGCTCCAGAGCGGTGACTTAGGGAGAGATAGAGAGGGAGAGCAGAGGGCTGCGCGAGAGGGAAAACTGCCGTTCGACTCTGCCTCCAGAAGTCACTCGACTATACCCTTCTTTCTTGGTTTTTAAGAAACAATACGATTTTTTTTTGGCAGCCAGTGCGGCAAAAATGAAAAAATTTTAAAAATATAAAAAGGTTGTTTTTTTTTAGAGGTATAGAACTTTAAGTTGGCATTACTGTTCAAGATGGCGACCGATTTAACACCTGTCAAGTGATTTATTCTCAGTTTGGTTTGGCAATTCATCATGAGTAAACTCACGCCTGAACAACGCTTGCAAATAGTGCAGTTTTATTTCGAAAATAATGGTTCTGTGCGGAATACGTATCGCGCACTACGTCCATTTTATCGTCGACAAAATCGTCCATCAGAACAGTTAATTCGATTAACCACGGAACGATTTCGCACCGCGTTTACTCTTATTGATAACTTGAAGCCTCGAGGCGCCGTACTGTGCGTGCAGAAGAAGCTATTGCTACTGTATAGCTTAGCATTGAGGAAGACCCGAATGAGTCCATCCACCATCAATCACAGGAATTGAATCTGGGTCCATCCACTTTATGGAAGAATTTGTCGAAGGATCTTGGTTTGCGTGCTTACAAAATCCAACACGTGCAAGAATTAATCATCAAGCAAGGCGTAGATTCGTCGAATGGACCCAAAACGAGATTTCCATTGTTCCCGATTTTCATAAGCGAATTTTGTTTAGCGATGAAGCGACCTTCTGGTTGAATGGCTACGTCAACAAACAAAACTGCCGCATTTGCAGTGAAGCTAACCCTTAAGTGTATGTCAAAATACCGTTACATCCAGAAAAACTGACTGTTTGGTGCGCTTTATGGGCTGGTGGATTCGTTGGTCCGTACTTCTTCAAAACGATGATGGCCAGAACGTTACAGTCAATGGTGATCGGTATAGAGCCATGATTACTAACTTTTTAATTTCTGAATTGAACAGCCATGATTTCCAGGAGCTGTACTTCCAACAAGACGGCGGAACATGTCACACAGCTTGTGCCACAATCGATTTATTGGAAGACACGTTTGGTGACAGTCTATTTTCACGTTTTGGACCTGTGAATTGGCCTCCAAGATCTTGTGATTTAACACCGCTAGCCTACTTTCTGTGGGGCTATGTAAAGTCATTGGTCTATTCGGATAAGCCACAAACGCTTGACCATTTGGAAGACAACATTCGCCCTGTTATTGCCGATATACGGCCACAAGTGTTGAAAAAGTCATGGAAAATTGGACGTCCAGATTGGACTACATCCGAGCCAGCCGTGGCGGTCATATGTCAGAAATCATATTTAAAATGTAATGCCACAAGATTATCTTTCGAATAAAAAATTCATGTCAATCGAATAATCCATCGTTGTTTTATTGAAATTTAAAGTTCTATACCTCTATAAAAAACACCCTTTTTTTATATTATTATTCTCCTGGTTACCAGAGGAATTCTATTACCTTCTAAACGCAGTAAGGATTTGTAATTTTTGAATGACCTACTATTGCCCTATGATGTTGACCGCTAACCACATTTTTTTCAAAGGGGCGATATTTTTAAAAGGATAATTTAAATGACAAATTTTAACAGCATATAAATAGTCCATCATTGCTCAAATTTCGACAACTAATTCACCAAAGTTAGACACATAGGAAAAACCAAACCAATGATCTTTCCAAAAAATACCAACTCTGTTGGACATATTTCATATAAAATGTTCTTAATGTTTTAATTTTTTCTTTATAGGAAAATCGAAGCGTGCCAGTGCATTAGTTGCAGCTGTTGAAAAGGCAACCGAAAATTTTATTCAAAAAGGTGAACAGATTGCGTATGAGAACCCAGATATCACACAAGAAATGTTAACCGCTGTGGATGAAGTAAAAAAAACGGGAGATGCTATGAGCATTGCAGCTAGAGAATTTTCTGAAGATCCATGCAGCTCGCTGAAGAGAGGCAATATGGTGCGGGCAGCTAGAAATCTGTTGTCAGCTGTTACCCGTTTATTAATTTTAGCTGACATGGTAGATGTTCATTTGCTTCTGAAATCGCTCCATATTGTTGAGGATGATTTAAACAAACTAAAAAATGCATCGAGTCAGGACGAGCTTATGGATAATATGAAGGTATGAGTAAGACCAAAATTACATTAAAATTGTACGATATCAAGACACTGACCTACATTCCTATATATACATAGGGTGGAAATCTTAATGTTAGGACAATTTATTTTCCTGCCATTTAAGTATGAACTTATAAATAAGTGTTTTAGACCCCTAGAAAACTTTACATGTTGGCACCCAAAAAATGGTTTTTGAAGGAACCAACATCAACAACTGTGGCTCCTACAGTTTAAGTGCTAAAAAAAGTTAGAGTTATATTGCTTAGTTTTCGTCAATACCACTCTAACACCCACAAGCCATTCAAAACTGTGGAGCCCACATTTTTCAAATTAAAAAAGTTTTTGCTGTATTGTCTCGTCAATACCTATCGAATGATCTAAAAAAAGTTTCCCAATAAGTTTGTAAAATATATACATATATTTATCTCGCGAGTAGGTCGCGCTTTACAATCTTTTTCTGCTGCTTGTGTCATCATTTCCCATTTGTTCCCTTTAGCTGAGTAACGGGTATCAGATAGTCGAGGCACCCGAGTATAGCCTTCTTCCTCGTTTTTAATGTTCTTACTGGGCAGGATATTCTTTGATATCAGAAGTTTTCATTAATGCATCAAAGTTATAACTCGTCTACTTTCTACGGTCATAGGAGCTAAGGTATTAGCTTTTTTTCAAGATATGTATATGGACAATTCTCCGATTTCTCGCCAAAGTCGTACGCATTCAACATGAAAAAGATGAATACGTCAACAAAATGTTGAATAATTACGAATATTAACGTCGCTCGGAGGGCTCGCTGAAAAGATTTTTTGTAATTAGAATCAATAGCAATTAAATTATATGTAGCCGTCTATAAATTGTATGATACTTCACGAATATATGTATTGTTTACAAGTGCGGAAGGCAACTGTGTTCCGTCAAATTTACCCCCATTCTTAATCTTTTGCGATGACTTCTCGACTCTTCGGATCATGTGTAGGCAGTTCTTTGTTATAGTACGAATGGCCATTTTGTACCCTTTTTTCAACTCAGTAAGGGAAACGCTTTCGACTCAATAAAGTATATATGCTTTTGATCAGCATCACTAGATGAGTCGATCTAGCCTTTTCGTCCGTTTGTACGTTAACTAGTCTCTCAGTTTTAAAGTTTTCGAGATGAAACATTCCGAATAGTCTTATTTCTATTGCAGGAAGTACAAATGATAAAAAAAATAAAATAAATATAATTTTACAAAATTATAATATTGTTACTTGACTTCTTCTTTTAGAATTTGGAATAAAATTTATAGAAAGAATCGCCCGATTTTTATCATATAGCTGACATAGGAACGATCGGATAATTAATGTCAAAATAATTCGAAGATCGTTATATTTTGTTTTCGGTAAAAATACACGGTAGTAAACTAAAATGGAACATTACCTAAACATTTCTGTTATTAGATTTTAGTTTTCTTAAAATCGGAAACCTCTGTACATGCTCCCACGCGAACGACCTACAAGGGTATAACAACTTCGGTTTGCCGAATTTAGCTTTCTTTCTTGTTTGCAATAATTTCGTTCTGTGTTTTGGAGTAAGCGTAGTTATGACCACAATGCGGACATTCTTTAGAAAAGTAGCAAAATTAAACGGCATCAAAAACAGGCCTATTTATAGAAACGGCTTAAAAGATTTAAAAGTACTGCGATAAATGCGCGAGTGATAAATAAATCGTCGAGGGGCGTGCAATACGATCACCTATTGTCAAGGTTGTCCGGCATAAGTTATTTCATTGTTCTCTGGATCCTGGGCTTTGAAAGATATTGAATATATATATAAATATATATATATTTATAAAAATATTGTTCCTTAGTATACCTATTCACTTAAACACAATATATATAGATATATTATGTCAGAGGCATGCGACTTCTTCAATGGCTAATGGAGAGACTCGTCTTCTTTAATTGTTCATCGGGATTGGCACTTTATCTATCGATTTCGTTTATTTAAATGATTTTTAATGCGTTTTGAATGCTTCAAATGTTTTGATTTTCATTTGTTCTCCAATTGTTTTGTATGAGGCGGGCTATCTTCCTTTGGTTATGTATAAGTTTACTTTTGACTGGATCGATTAACACACTTCTTTTGCTAGACTACTTTGCTTAAAGTATAGGTCACTACGCCTCTGAACGGATGACTCGTACATCTTAACAATTTTTAGGAGCATGTGGATCAAGAGTACTGTAGCCACAATCATCACAGTACGTCGGATGTCGTCCTTATGGTAGATCCTCTCCACGTTCTTTAATCTTACTGGCAGCGGGGGCTCGACACATACGATTCTTTCGCGCTTCTATTCCGGTCTTCTTTAAACGGCTAAGGTCTTTTATACCAGTCTTGAGCTTTTACTTGGCCACCTAGGGTGTCTATTCCTCCAAACATCACAGTACGTCGGATGTCGTCCTTATGGTAGATCCTCTCCACGTTCTTTAATCTTACTGGCAGCGGGGGCTCGACACATACGATTCTTTCGCGCTTCTATTCGGGACAGTTGGATAGAGTAGCTGGTCTTGGTGGCGTAGACTCCATGGGCTGATGCCCAAGTCCAGAGAAAAATCGCCTTTCCTCGGAGCTGGCTGCTACCTTCAGAAAGACACCAGAGTGGATCCTCCTGTCTTCTTTAAACGGCTAAGGTCTTTTATACCAGTCTTGAGCTTTTACTTTGCCACCTAGGGTGTCTATTCCTCCATATCCGCTATCTTAGGAGTCAACGGCCGGCTGTCGCACTTTGCCAGCTTCCATTGTATGGTTACCAGATGGTCGATCGTGGCCGTTGTTCTAGCCACACGACACCCGTGAATTGCCAAATTGTATAATCTTCTGTCAGTCTATCGTCGTAGCTTCTCTATGTGACTCTTTGTATGGGAAGGGCGTACACGTCGCTATTTTTGTTGCCGCATAATTTTGATGTTTTTTTTATTAATGTATCTAAGTTGTAAAAACCATCCGCTATGTGGGCGTAACCACTCTTATTTTAGTTACTGGATATGCAATCCTAATTACTCTAAAATGCAGAAAGGAAATATTGTAAAAATTGGTAAGAAGAAAGAAGAACTGTACACGTGCGGCACTGCGTTAGAAAAAAATACTGGGGGAGTGTAGCGTAACGTGACGAGTGAGGCAAGGTCACGAAATCGTCACATCACACGTGGGAAATTTCCAAATAATTGTGTAATAAAATTAAGAACTCGTGTAAATTGATTGTCAGATAATTTTGACTAAAAAGATGGAACAAAAATTAAAAGACATGTCTAATTTCTATGTGTTTATACCTCCAGGCGATTGACTTCGATTCTTTTGTATTTATTTCTTTGAAACATCTTCTATTTTTTGAAGACACTAATTTTTTAATTTCTTAAAAATAACAAACTAAGATTTAAATAAAATTTTAGGGTTTTTTTTATTTTAAACATATATGCATTTTGTTACTTACAAACCTAGGGGTTTTTGTTTTAAGTTGAAGCCGTTTTTTCCTCTACGAACTCACGTTGCAGCAAGTAGTGCAACTCGCTAACTATTATTATATGCTTATGGCGTTTCTGTATCTGCGTTGTTCGGCTTGTAAAAGAAAACGGGCCATGTATGTATGCATTTGAAGATGTTTCACTGCGGCACTCGACTGGTCCTATGGATGGTACTGGTAGCTGCATCTCCAATTTCTTGCTCACTGCACTTTTTGGATCTTTTGCCTTTTACTTTCAGTTTTTAACGGTTTGTATATTTACTTTTAGTTTATTTTGTTGTTTTTGTCGATTCCCTTTGATTGCCATTAATTAAATTTATTCGCCTTTATAGTTTAGGTTGTTCATGGATTGTTTTAATGCGCACTGTTTTCTTGACACTAGCATGTGACTTATTCACGGTTTTAAGCCAATGTTGGTCACCACTTTCTCCAGTGCATGATGTTGGTCCACGCGTCTCTGTAGAGAGCGTTTTTAAATTTTTTACAATCATCAGAATTTTGAGAACTAACAGTAATACAACGGCGAACTTCAGGGTTATTTTTTGGCTTCCCAAAAGGGCTATTGGGTCAATTCGTTCATAAGAGTATGTCCGAATAATGTAATCGATACTAGATGGCTGCCTGCAATCTCGGAAAAAGTTGCTTTGCTGCTGGTATATCTGCATATCTCCACAGCTGCTATTCGAGGCACTACAGAGTTTCCCTTGTTTTTTTTTTTTAATAAGGCTACCGCCGGTAGGTGTCGCATTTTAATCTCGCTTTGCTGCTTTTATATCTCTATTTAGCTGAGTAACGAGTACCTGATAGTCGAGGTACTCGAATATAGCGTTCTTCCTTGTTTGATTTCACGATATCGAATTTAATGTAATAAGCCCTCCGATGTACATCTCGCTCGCTCTAATTATGGCGTTTGTATTTCTGAGTTATTTAATAATCTGTTAATAATTTCTAAATAAAAAAGGAAATATATTTAATTAAGATCAAATAAGTATTTATTTTACCAATTCTAAATTTTTATTTTAAGTTTTTTTTTATTTGTTTTTATATGTTTTTTCTTAATATATTTACTACATTTGTTATGTAATTATTTTAACACAAGTAGATTTTTCTTGTAATGAATAGTGCTTAGATATAGCTAATTTTTGAGTTTTTGGTATAAAGCAGTGAAAGGATAAAGTGCCTTTAACAGTCATCGTTTTTGGTATCTTTTTTCCAACTTTTTTTCTTCAACAGCATATTCCGCGTTAGTTGAAAATTTGACTGTTATATTTGCTAGAGACTTGGATGCCCATTCGAATAACACCCAGGGCGTTTGTATTGGGTAAGTTACTCTTTGCAGACTAGCTCTAGCGGCTAACATTTTAACTGTGCCGCCTAAGCCATCACACGCACCTTTGCCGTAAGAGGTGGGGAAAAAGTGCCATTCAGCCTTTACGAACATATCGATACAAATTTTGTTTAAGTCCTATGAACTCAACTAGCTCACAACGTGAACCAGTTCATCTATT